AATATTATAATAATGTTGTAGAGATATGGATTAATTTTGTTTATATAAATACTAATTACAGAATTAGTAATAATTATAATGTTACTAATTAGTAATTAAATATTACTAATTAGTAGAGACTCTTGTCTCTTAGCTGGACATTTCCCTTAATTGTGATAAGGCTATGAAATGATATCAGCATCTTCATCCAGAAGCTTCTCATTTCTTTTGTTCTCTCTCTCTCTATCCTATGGTTCACGATGAAGACGCTCACCTTCTCTCTCTAAATTGAGCACATCCGAGCTCAAAATCTGAAATCTGAGTGTAATGACCGGACATTTCACAGCCTTAATTGTCGTACGGCTGTGAAATGAACTCAGCCCATGTCGAGAAGCTTCTTATTTTCATCTGTTCTCTCTTTCTCTATGTACTGGTTCACGGTGAAGAATGCTCACCTTCTCTCTAAAAATTGAAGACATCCAAGTACAAAATCCGGCATTCTCAGTGTTAAACCCATATATCATTTCCGGAATCTTTGATTCTGGAATGGATTTTTGAATTTAAGTCCATCTGTTTCTAAATCCGTTTTGTACATGTTAAATTGAAATCCTATTTAACCATGTCCTTCACCGTAAGACGGTCGTGCCGGGAAGTCTAGTTGTTCTGCCAGAGTGCTTCAACCTCAATGCATGGGCTCTCTGTTGTCTTTTACACCAATCTTTGGGTACAATGGATTTTTGTGAACAATATCTTCGAATTTATAGTCAAAGATATTTAAAAACTTATTAAAAAAAAAAAGAAAGAAGTAACATGCATGGTTCTACATGTATAAGCAAGTGTACTTTAATTATGAGACAAATTGTCACAGATTGACCATCTCACAAGTAAAATACTATTGAACTCTCACTACACTTTTAATTGTGAGACAAATGTTGCAAATTGACCTTCTCATTTGGGTTTAGTCATATAAAAATGACTATTAAATATTGTATTTTTATTTATGTGAGAGTATATCACTCCAACACATTCTAAAATTGTAACAATCAAATCAAATTAACCCTTGAATTAAGCAATACTTAGAGCAGTTAAACCGGACCGAACAAAAAAAAAATACAAAACAAAACAAAAAAAGCCACCATATTGGTGGGCCTAACAAAGACCGGCCCACGGGGCACGGTGGGCCGGTCAAATTTTAAAATTTAAATAAAAATTAACATAAATAATTTAATAAGTGTATACTAAAATAATTTGAATAGTTTAAATATACATTAATGCATTTGTAATTTGTTAATCATAATAATAACTAATAATAAAGTAATAAGTCCTAATAGCTAAGTACCTTGTCCTTTGATGGCATAACCTTGCTTTCTATAAGGAATATCTTAGGTTCGAGTGTCATCCCCAATCCGACCTTGGCAAGTCAGTAACAAATCATTTATACAATATAATGTACTCCCTCCGTCCCATTTTACCTGTCTTACTTTCTTTTTTAGTTTGTCCCAAAATAGTGCTATCTTTCCAAAATTGAACATAACTATCACTCTATATTTCCCAATTTACCCTTTTAACTTTTCAAATTTTTAGAGGTAAGTACAACTGTACTTTGTACAAATAACATCTACTTTTGAGGGGTAAAATTGGAAAGTTAGTAACATTTGTTATGTTGCATTAAAAACTGTGTAAAAAGCAAATGAGACAATCAATTAGGGACGGAGGAAGTACTAATTACTAATATATTTTTTAAAATATAAATAAACATATATTTATATATAAAATTATATAAAATTATGTGTGTGTGTGTGTGTATATATATATATATATATATATATATATATATATATATATACACACACACACACACACACACACACACACACACACACACACACACAATGTTAGTATTATACACACACTAACACGAGGCTTGGTGGACCTCGCCGGCTAGCCAAGCCCGCCTCATCAGCAGGCCATAAAATTTAAAGCCCGTTGCTCCCTTTTTACGAGAAGGTATGGACTAATCCGGTGGCTAAATCCGTTTTGACCACTATAGCAATCAATCATTATTGTGTGGACCATGGTCCATACAAGTTGTGTGGACCATATTTTGTATACAGTAAAATAATGTATATTCAGTACAAAAATAATGTACATTAGATTCAGGGGACGTACATTATTTTTGTACTGAGTGTACATTATATTGTATAATGTACATTCAGTACAAAAATAATGTACATTTAGTATATTAAACATGTATTTTTTATTATGGTCCACATAATACTGTGTGGACCATGGTTCACACAATAACTTGCCCTATAGCAATAGTGTTGTATCTCCAATTACATGTATATGCATATATGTAAGATTCTTCATTTCCAAAAATTACACTATTGGATGGCAACACAAGTTAATCCTCAAAATTCTATTTCACATCCTTTTAATGAAAAACACTAATACGATGTACATTAAAAAAATGTGTTTATATATGCTATGTGTTATGGCAAAATCTCCAACCCTGAGATTGGTTGAGTTTTTCATAAGTATTATATTTTACCTCGTAAGTATTACAATTTTTCCTCATAAGTTGTTAAGGATTAATGATTTAATATATTATTATATTTTGTTGCTTAGTTTCATCCTGTCGAATAGTTCCTTATTGTTGTTTTGTTACCTACTTTATCTCTCTGTACTTGTATAAATAGCTTACTGCTCTAGCTTAATAATACAAGCCTTTTCACAATCTCTAGTTCTCTACATGGTATCTGAGCTATATTTCTCTAACTAAGAATTTCCTGAATATCCCTATTTTTTTTTCCCTTCCCTCAATGGCTTCCGCTTCTACAACCATACCGTTGATTCATTTAACTGCCCCAACCCACTTTCCCATCCGGTTAACTGACACTAATTTCCCGGTTTGGCAGCGCCAAGTGAAGTCCACGTTAATCGGCCTTGATCTCTTAGGCTATGTTGATGGCACAAAAGGAGCACCTACTCAATTCACTGATGAAGCCCGCACTATCGTAAATCCGGCTTACACTGCTTGGTATCGACAGGATCAAATCTTGATCAGTGCTCTCCTAGGGAGCTGCTCCGAATCAATCCAACCTCTTATCTCATCTGTAGCCACTGCACATCAAGCTTGGTCGAGACTTGCTACAAGCTATGCTAATGACTCTAAGGGTAGAGTCATCTATCTTAAAACCAAGTTGACTAAAAATCCAAAAGGTTCTCGTTCGATTGTTGAATACCTTCAAGATATGCGCTCAATCGCCGACTCACTTGATGCTGCGCAAAGCCCGGTCGATGATGATGATTTAATTGCCTGTGTTAAATCAACTAGGTGATGAGTATGCTTCCATAATCCCAGCTGTTCGTGTCCGGAGAGCAGGAATCACCTATGGTGATCTCTACAATATTTTGACTGAACATGAGCGCATGTTGAAAGATGTTGAAGAAGCCAGAAAATCACACCTTGTTACTGCTAATGTTACTCAACGCCAAACTCCATTAGCTAGCCAGTCTAATGGTGGACCAACTGGACAACCCTTCAATCGTGACAAAGGAGGGAATTACAACCAAAGACGGTTTCGTGGCAGCCGTCAAAATCAAGGAGGCAATTACAACCAAGGTGGCTTTTACCGTACCAATCTGGTATGTCGATTTTGTAATCTGCAAGGACATGAAGTAAAAGTCTGTCGCAAACTAGCCCGGTTCCTCCGTGAAAATGGTATTACAACTGGGAATCAGCATATGTCTAATTCTTCAAATCCATCGGTGAATGCTTCAATGGTCAACAATGTGCCGCAACAGTCTTGGCTATTTGATACAGGTGCTTCACATCATGCAACCTCGAGCGCAACATCTTTGCCATCATTTTCTGAATATGGAGGCCCCGATGAAGTCCACTTGGAAGATGGTAATCGTTTGCAAATTACTCACACAGGCACTACTATTTTTCCCACTCCTACTCGTAATTTAACCTTAGACAATATTCTTTGTGTCCCTAAGTTACATCGTAACTTGGTTTCTGTTTCTAAGCTTTGTCAAACTAATGCGTTTTCTGTTGAATTTTTCCCATATTTTTTTCGTGTCAAGGATCTTCGCACGGGGGCGTGTCTGATGCAGGGAAACAACGTGCATGATATTTATTTTGCCACTATGCCATGCCACCCACAAATTAATGCGCTCACTCTTGCCAATGTCTCCGAGTGGCATCATCGTCTGGGTCACCCGTCCAATAAAGTACTTAGTGTTATTGCTCGCAATTCCAATTTTCCCTTTCATTTATCTGATGTCAATTTGTTTCATTGTGAGTCCTGTAGCGTAAGTAAGAGTCATAAGCTGCCATTTGCTCAGAATTCCTTAAAAAGCTCAAAACCTCTTGAACTTTTGTACACAGATGTTTGAGGTACCAAGGATGTTTCCGTTGATGGTTGCTATTATTATGTCATCTTTGTTGATTTTTTTTACAAAATATGTATGGCTATATCCTCTTAAACAGAAGTCTGATGTTGCTTTCATTTTTCCCCAATTTAAGGATCTAGTTGAAAAGTTCTTTGGTCATCAAATCATATCTGTCTTCTCAGATAATGGGGGTGAGTTCGTCAAACTAGTTCCTATGTTTCATTCAGCTGGCATATCTCATTTCACAACACCTCCGCATACTCCTGAGCGTAATGGTACGGCGGAACGGCGACATAGGCACATTGTTGAAACCGGCATATCGCTGCTTCATCGTGCATCTTTACCAATAAAGTTCTGGACGTATGCTTTTCAAACTGCTGTGTTTCTTATAAATAGAATGCCAACACCTATTCTTAATAATATTTCTCCATACCAAATGTTATTCCATAAAGTCCCTAGTTATGATAAAATAAAATGTTTTGGGTGCCTCTGTTATCCATGGCTTCGACCTTATGCTTCTTCAAAATTAAAACCACGGTCGACACCATGTGTGTTTATTGGTTATTCTGTTTCTCAATCTGCATATAAGTGTCTTGAGCCAATTACAAATCGTATTTATATTTCATGCCATGTCACATTTGTTGAGTCTGAATTTCCTTACAAGAAAATACTTATGTCTCATGCAAATAACCAGTTTCTTGCAACTTCCTCCAGTAGCACACAAATTTTTATTCCACATAATCTCCCTGCGATACAGACTTCAACTTCTGTTCCATCTACTCCTGCCAACACCTATTCTTAATAATATTTCTCCATACCAAATGTTATTCCATAAAGTCCCTAGTTATGATAAAATAAAATGTTTTGGGTGCCTCTGTTATCCATGGCTTCGACCTTATGCTTCTTCAAAATTAAAACCACGGTCGACACCATGTGTGTTTATTGGTTATTCTGTTTCTCAATCTGCATATAAGTGTCTTGAGCCAATTACAAATCGTATTTATATTTCATGCCATGTCACATTTGTTGAGTCTGAATTCCCTTACAAGAAAATACTTATGTCTCATGCAAATAACCAGTTTCTTGCAACTTCCTCCAGTAGCACACAAATTTTTATTCCACATAATCTCCCTGCGATACAGACTTCAACTTCTGTTCCATCTACTCCTGCTAATTGTGATATAGAATCCCACAATAACTCAGTTGCGCCTGTGAGTCCAGTAATTTTGCAGGATAATATTCCATCATCTAGGGATCATGCACACTCCGAATCTGCCTCTTCCAGAGATCATGTACAATCGGGTTCCTCATCGACTGAGTCTGCGGATTCTGTTCCTGGCATGCCTCAGGTGAGTAATCCGTCAGTCGAGGCTGCTCCTGGTTCATCCAAAATCAGTGACCAACCGACAGCATCCACTCGAACCGTGTCGCAAGCCAGTGATCGTCCAAAAAGAACCCGACGGCCTAATCCGAAATATTTTAATGATGCATTTGTTAATGTGACTTCGGCTCACTCCATGCCTAGTGCAGTCGAACCATCTACGGTTGCGCAGGCTCTGAAGCAACCACTTTGGCGTAAGGCAATGGAGGTTGAATTTACAGCGTTGATCCATAATCGAACATGGGAGCTGGTGCCGAATGTTGGACAGAAAATTATTGGATGTAAATGGGTGTTTCGGGTCAAACGGCATGCTGACGGTACTATTGACAAGTTCAAGGCTCGTTTAGTCGCCAAGGGATTTTTACAGGAGTCTGGCTATGATTACTTTGAGATCTTCAGTCCGGTTATGAAACCATTAACTATCCGGGTTGTTCTAACAATTGCATTGTCTCGAGGGTGGTCTACACGGCAGCTTGACATTAACAATGCCTTTTTAAATGGGACGTTAAGTGAAGAGGTCTTTATGGAGCTACCTCCGGGGTTTATTGACTCTACTCAGCCTAACTACATTTGCAAGTTAAAAAAGGCCTTGTATGGCCTAAAGCAAGCTCCGCGAGCTTGGTACCTGGAGTTGTCATCTTTTCTGATCAATTTTGGTTTTAAGAAAACCACCAGTGATGCTTCTTTGTTTGTGTATGCTGCTCGTGGAATGCTTGTTTATTTTATAGTTTACGTGGATGATATAATTGTCACGGGCAACAATGATGTTTTTCTTGACCGATTCATAAAATTATTATCACAAAAAATTGCTTTGAAGGACTTAGGCACACTACACCATTTTCTTGGTGTTGAGGTTCTACCTATTTCTGGTGGTTATTTTCTTTCCCAGAGTAGGTACGTTACAGATATTCTGGCTCGATATAACATGGATGGCGCAAAGCCTGTTTCCACTCCGATGTTTACTATGACGTCCGTGTTTATTCACGAGGGGGAACCTGTGGTTGATGCGACTGATTTTCGTAGGTTGATTGGAATGCTACAGTACCTATCGGTCACTAGACCTGACGTTGCTTATGTTGTTAATTCCTTATCGCAATGCATGCACTCGCCAAAGGCATATCATTGGGGTGTCATTAAACGGTTACTTCGGTATATGAAAGGTACTTTATTTCATGGTTTATTATTACGTGCATGCCCCAGTTTGTTGCTGACAGCCTTTTTAGACTCTCATTGGGGTGGTAGTAGAGATGATGGTCGTTCTACCACTGGTTTTGTTATTTGTCTTGGTTCAAATGTTGTCTCGTGGAAGTCTGTTCGTCAGAAAACTGTCTCACGGTCTTCAATCGAGGCTGAGTATCATGCTTTGGCGAGTTCGGCTGCTGAGATAATCTGGGTACGAAATCTTTTGTCTGAGCTGGGTATAGTATTACCGCATTCTCCACTGTTGTATTGCGATAATATGGGAGCCACGTATGTTGCGAAGAACCCAGTGTTCCATTCGAGGATGAAGCATCTTGCGCTGGACTATTTTTTTGTTCGGGAGCGTGTCATGGACGACATTTTGGGTGTTCGTCATATTAGCTCAAAGGATCAGGTTGCCGACGTACTTACCAAACCGCTAGGTCGTGACTTCTTTTTGCGGTTTCGTTCCAAGATTGGAGTTTCCGACGGTTCCTCCACCACAAAATAATCATTACATCAATACATAAATGATAAATTTTGAAAAACTAATATAATAG